ACAACTGGCTTCATTTACAAATGTACTATCTCCGAACGACCCTATAGATTCACGATTGTATCAGGATCTATGTTGTTACACACACGTAACTGATCCTAACGTTTGGACAGACCTTGACAACTCAAACAGCGTGTGACTTTAAAATCATTTCAGCTTCCTCGTAGCTATATTTTTTCACAGGAACTTGTTATCTTCAGTACGCACACCTCTTTTATCCATGTTCTTGCAGTTCTACACTCGTATGTCTCATGTGTGCTTATCTGTGCCTGTGAATATAATAATTTATCCAGTCTCTGTCTCTTTGTTTCACTATGTGTGTTATATGGACACTTGTAATAAGTAATAGTTTGGGTAGGCACATCCTTCCTTTCTGACTATCATCTCTTTTTCTGTCTTCAGGAATCAATACGTATAATATAAAAATTCGAAACACTCGTATCCTACTTCTATATCTGCGTTTTTATTAACGGAGTTTTTCGAAATATTTATGATGTACGTGGGATCTATAATCCGCCCAGATCACTAAAGATTCGCTTATAATAAAGTGAGACAACGGGCAGCTAAATGCTAGTTGGTAGGGGCACTTCAGTATTACACCCGTGTCGTCGCCGATTTCCACTGTTATGTTAATTATGTACTTCAGATGTTGACCTGTTAGAGAAAGGAGTCAGTATTTGGGTATATACTAAGTCCCTTCATTAACGCTTGAAACATAGACTTTCCTATTTGCTTTGCCAAATGTAATCAATTATTCACAACTCTCAGTGATGATTCATGTTTAAAAGACCCTGTTGTTATTATCGTTTTATTGTGTTTAATGATCTCCACAGAAAACATTCCGATGTTGGGAAAAAAATAACTTACCAGGCTCACATTTTGATGGTCAGATATGAATGCAATTATGTTTCCCATATCAAACAAAAGTAGAAGATGGTATAAATTATAAAGTGATCCTTCAAAATGGATTCCATGTCTAATGTTGTCTCAGTCCCAGCAAACAGTCTATGCGGACTATGGTGATCCAATTCTCAAAAAATACTATGCATTTAAAGCCAGTGATTCTTTTAAGTGGCTTGAATTATTCTTCACGACTTCACCATATTCTTGTTTTACAATCCAAGCTTTGATAAAACTTTTCTGTCTGTAAATTGTCCCCGTGGGATATGTAAATTTCAATGGTCATCATTTCGGTGCATAGAGAGTTATCACCTGGTTTAATGTTATCGGGTGCGAACATTAAACCACCACCTTCAAACGCCCTTTGCACAAATGGTTAGACAGAACACTTCGTGAAGACTTTGAAAACTGATAATAATTTCGTTGCTGCTACAACGTTTGATAAAGCAAGGGTCGAGCGGACAGACTAATAATGTAACATAAATTGCTAAGCACTCTTCAACCAAAGAGAACTCATCAAAAACCTCGAAACGAATGATTTCTTGTTAAAACATAATGTGTTTACAATTTGCTGAATTAATATATTATGATGTAGATAGTCCTTGGCCACCTACAGTATGAGATCCTTATGATATTCATGTGTCTGTGTGTTTGGTAGAATATCTATGGTTTAATTTCTTGCGTGTAACGTTGCATCCACTGCTGCTTGTATTAACGTATAATTTGTTTATCTTGTCATTTGTCTGCAGTTGCTACTATTATGCCGTTTACAACTTTAAAAACGAAATAAATTCTTTGTCATAGTCCAAGTTTCGCTTACTGTTTATGATTGTTTTGCTGAACATCTCGATGTCTGGTAATGTTGGGTTGGCTGAAGCGTTGACCTCATCGATCTTGTTCGATCGTGTGATCATTAAAATTTTTGGCCCCAGAATCTTCATATTAGGGTCAGTATTATGTTTCGGTTTACAGCTTATAACTGAAGTCCGTAGACGATAAGAATATATAACGAAAGTGCAGACGACGCCCTATTTTATTATTAGTTAAACAGTTGTTATGAACACTGCTGCCAAACAATCTTCATTGCACCATTGAGTGACATGGTTATAAGCATAGAATGAAAAACGAATTCCCAAGTCATTATTGTCTGGCAGTTGATGATAATTAACTGTACAGTATTACATTCTTAACCTAAACGTGAGTATTTCAGCCGTAAATGTGTTAATTGGTTCCCGAGTCTGTCTGGTATGTAACTGTTCGTTGCCGATAGGCTTTTACTTCGGTATTTTGTAGTGGTTGGATCTACCCTCCGTTCGGACCTCGAATTTAGTACAACTTTAACCGCTGGAACTCCTTGACGAGCTATTCAACACCGTTATTTTGTCTGTTTTTTTTGCACTTCTGATGTGTACTGCCTGTGTCTTGTGAGTAATGACGTAGTAGTGCTAGCAGTAAATGATTAACTTTCAAAGCCAACTTTGTGTAGGTAGTCAGGAAGTGTACTGGAACGGCCAAATTAGATATTAAATTCTGTGAACTCTTATAAGCTTTGTAATCGTGTAGTAAAGCACGAAGTCTTCCATAACAATTATTCGGAAGATTGAGAATTTGAAGTTGTTAAGGGCGAAGACTGGCAGATTGACGATAAGGCAAACGATGTCACTGACTTCTTGGATAGTTGTAGGTGATTACGAGTTAGGAACTGTATCCAATTTTTATAGTGGAATTAACAAGCAAGCGTCTTCCTATGAGAATGAAACGCAGATGTACAAATAATAATTTTGTTATAGAAAGAACAAGTAATGAAAAGTGGTTTTGGAATATCTTAGATTTACTTGAAACTGACGTGAATCGATTCTCAATTAGGTGTGCCGTATGAAATGTAACAGATCAGGCCTTAAGTATTCTGTCACTCAAAAACGAGTATGCAGCAAAACACCTTTTGTTTGGCTTGTTAGGGGTTCATTGCATCAATGACCCAAGTTATTGCTGCCGTAATGAGGTCTAAGATGGATATAGAAAGGATGATATGGCATATATAGAGAGAAATTCAACGACATTATTCTAGAGTTTAAAGCCTTAAATGAGGAGGATATTAGAGTTGCTAGGAAAACTGATTGTTGGTGTCAATTTAACAGTAGGCATTTTCTTTATGAGTCTCTACTAGAGGACTGAAGGGGGAAATTCGCCGTTCAAAAGTGCGACGGAAATCTCACACTTAAATAGATTGAAGAGCGGACTGTAAAAAATGTTGGTTTGTGGACAGAATATAAGTAATATGTAGGCAATATATAGGTAACTGTAAGATCCAAACTACGTTTGGACTGCTGGACAGCTGTCTGGATGAGTTAGATACGCGCCCTCGCCCGATTGAAACCAAAACAAGTAATTGGGTAAGATAGCGGTTCTATAATTTATCATAAATTTAAGTGTACATTATTACCTAAACAAATATAACCACTCAGCTATCCAACCAATAATTGTTCAATTGATCAAATCTAAATTACAATAAATAAGAAAGTTGATAAAGGATGCAAGAAAATTACCAATCACAACAAATAAAGGCTATTCTATCCCGTCTGGATAGACCACGTACAGATCCGTTCAAAAGGTAATAATTGGTCGCTCTATAACACAGTGTTTTCAATTCTGGAAGAGTGCTTCACTTCACAACCAAAATGCACAATTCCAGTCAACACAGGTCAAGCAATCAAAGCAGGAACAAACCAAAATGGCTGCCGCCAAGACTAAGTGTCAAGTAAAACAACATAAGTGCAGTTCGGGAAGAAACATAGGGACTTAGTGAAGGTGTAATAAAAACGAAAACTATAATAAAATACAAATATTAACAATTCAAATGTAGCCAAAAAGTTAACAATGTACAACTAAGAGGATCAATAGGAACAAAGTGCAAGTAAATACATGGAGGGATTTTCACAAACACACAAAACATTCAAAATGGATCTTACAGTAACTGCAGTCACCAATATGCTGTTGGGTAGCCCACTCACGGCACTTCCTCGGATATTCTTGTTTCATTTTTCTACCCTCCATTCTCTTACAAGGTTTGATCCTCATACAGAGGACACGTTCACCAAGTCACGAACAATAACTTGAGTAAATTAAGTGTTACGAGACAAGCTAACAAATTATAATATATGACATCCATGTAGTATCTCTAAATAATGACTGGGCCTTAACGTCATTGACTGAAAGTCAGACATTGAACGGATAAGTAATTCCCTCTTAAGCTGAAGAAACTGAAATAACATGTTCTCTCTGGGCAAGTTGGTCGGAAAGACACTTTTATGGAAGTCGATTTTAGGAGGAAGCTAATGCTACAACTTAGGTCGATTGGTTAAAATTTAGATGTAAGCATCTTCGTAATGTTGAAAATTGTGCCTAAAGCATTTATTCACTCCCTTATTTCATATAGGCATTAAATTTTTCATTATTTTATATTGAATGTTGAAAAACGTTGTGTGTTTGAAACAGGTAACCTCGCGTTCTATCTGTTCTCTTCCGTGACCTAAATAAAGACGTGTTCACTACTAATCTGGTTTCCTCTATCGATGGAGTGAAGGACATCCCCCTGCGCAAAATATCTACATTACCTACAATCGAAAACATGCGACTGTATTCCTGATTACTTTGTGTCACTTAAGAACACCGAGAAGTGTTGGCCTACAGGCAAGGTGTGAGTAACAGTGACGTTCAAAACACAAATTAGCCCCAGTCAAAGATAGCTCATCACTCCGATTTGTTATATCGGGAGCCTATTACTAAATTAATGTAATGGACGTAACTGAACAAACTTCGAATTTAGCTCATTTAAACGAATCAAAATGTTATCCAGTTGAGCTCAAAATAGTGTAAATGAATTGTGCACTGCGTTCTTGAGGGGTTCGGTAAAACTTCCATTTGTTTTTAATAACAGCATGAGTATTTTCCACATTCGGAGGGAGACAAACAAGAACTGCATCAATCTACATAAGAATTCTTTGTTTCATCTCAGAACAGGAAAGAAAGAACAATAATTCATGCCACTCAAATGACTTTAAGGTTTGAGTGTTGAAGTTGTTTGTTGAAGCCACAACTGTAAATAACAAACATAGCGCACTTTACAAAAACTGATATATTGGGATGTATCAATTTCAAGAATAGTTACGGAATTAGCCGCAAAGTTATTCAAATGAAGCTGTCTGGATCTAATATTGCTTCAGCTACTGATATTCGTCACTCTTCACGTGTGAATTATAGTCCGGGTACAGGTGAATACATTGGTTTAACAAAGCAATGGGTTAACCATGTTCCTCTTCATAAGTCACGAAATATAAATTCTGGAACTGGCCTCATTCAGATCTACGACGAGGTGCCTCAAAAAGGAGAGCCGAATTATGGCAATTATCTTCCGAGTAAAGCAGTCCAAGGCAAAAATATTGTACATACAAATACCCATCAGAATGTTCATGGAAAATTCAAAGTAAGCGTTTTCCTATTGTGGAGTTCATAAGCGTTAATCTTTGTCTTCGAGTTTTTTAAGAATAACGGGTGTTTTTACATGGATAGATATCTTATTTACAACTGCTTAACTACAATACCTTTGATAACTTAACTCATCTTTCTGTAAAAGTGTATTCATCAACATTCTTGAAAGGATTGAAGTTGTACATGATTTTTAGCGGAAATTTATAATACCTTACATCAGAGGAAAATCGACTACTGTTTCGGATTGAGCCGTACGGCTCACGTGTTAATGACTAATTTAGTAAAAATGCTTGACAATAAAGTGTTTATATAAATAATTCTATTCTTTGCAATGAGAAACACACTTTCAACGTGAGAATTTAGTGGCGTCTTACTACGCTTATTGAAGTCAGCTAAGTCGCGACCAGATTTCAAAAAGTATGGCCTGTCAGTAGTTATTAAATGATATTTTAATAAGACCCATCTGGTAGTCTCTCATTATATCTCTTATCTCTTTTCAACAAAACAATCATAAATTTAGGACTATGCAGCTGATTTTATTTGTACAGTTTAGTTCTCAGGTTTCTTAACTATTTTGTTTTGTTTGTATTGTTTACATAACAGAATAACTGCTTATTTTTGCTCTTAACTATATATTAATACTTGATATCTCGATAGTATGTTCACAAATCGACTTATTATACTTGTTACCTAGCTACCATCAGCTAGTCAGCTTGAACTTAGTCTGCAGGTTAATATGTGTTGGTTGGCGTATGGAGATAAATATATATTTAAGTTCGGGGATTATAGTTTATTGGGTTAGTATGAAACAGGACAGAAAATGACATTTTGTTAAAAATACTGTGATATTTTTGAACAGGATTCAAACTGTTACTGTAGTAAACAGAAATTAAGTTGTGTTGTAATAAACTAGAAAATTATTGCATTTTTATTTGGCTAGTGGTGAACGGATCTACCCGTTAGAAACTAGAACTGAGTTGTTTCATAGTACTCAGGCCATGTTCTCACTGAATTCCCTAAATTTTAAGAGATAAGTAAAACCTTCATTAGCAAGTAAGAGAGTAAAGTAAATTCGATCAAATGTGGTTAAAATTTAATTTAATGTTTTTGAAAATGTATATGCCTTCACATTTATGTCAACGGAAGTTTCTGACTTGCATCACTTGTAGCATAAGCGAGACATCTGTCTGCCAACCAAAGGAGAAGTTTTGATGCACAACTATCTCCTCTGATTTACTCGACGGCTGCTAAACATGACCACTAAAATCAAGAATACTCGTAGGTTACGAGCATTCAATCATAGTTGTCTTTAGAGTGAACAATAATGAAGCTAGGGACTGTATACTTCATAAAGATGACAAATCAATTCATGAACTAGTGAGGAGCCTGATAGTAGAACGAGACCGCCGTCTAGTGCTTCCAGGTTGATAAAAATTTATTACTACTGAGAGTTTCGACCTAAGCTCCTTCAGATAATTCAAGTAATAATCATTAAAGCAAAGTTATTTAAATGAAGTTGAAATAGGACGAGAATACCCCACGAATGAAACTAGCATTTTAAGGTGAGATTTATAGTTCTGCTTCATTTTTCATGACAGCCATAGAGTACGCTTAGTGGTTGAAGTGCAATCGAATTCTAGTCAATAGTTCTGTCCATAAGTTCTCTTGGTGCCGAACTAGTTTTTACTAGTTTAATTTCTGCTGAGATTCGGGTACTGAAATTGTTTTTTTTTAAGATATCATATGTTTATCAATAGAAGTTCACAATCAGGAACACGCTATCCGAAAAAGCATCTATCAGGCACCGAAATGTTAAATTTTTTTACACAAGAGACCTTGAAATTATCTATGTCAAAAAACTACTTTTGTGTCATTATTGACAATCGCGTTTTAAAAGGCTACTTCATGCTTGGAAACCACTTAAACCTTTTACAGTTAAATTTACTGTGACTAATTAATGTATACCCAATGGAAGCATTTCAGTGTTCTCTTCATAAACTATACTGTATTTGTGGTCATACTATCAGTTATCTGAATCACTGTGTGATTGAATGATAATTCTAAATAGAAACCTGGTTCTCAATGCATGTCTTTAAAAGATCTAATTTCAATGGACAATAATTTAGAAAGCAGAATCATCCTTATTTCATATTTAGTTTTTGCTGTAAAACTACTGAGATCCATGGAGCTCCAAACAACTGTTTTATCTTAGTGTGGTTTTTATCAAAGGTATCCTGTCACTAATTCACTTGGGACGTAAGTTCTTATGTTCTATCGTCGGCTGGGTAAAGTACCAACGCAAACACTTTCTATATGTCTGTCCAGCCAGCTAGCAAATTGAGGGAATGAAAAATGAGTAGATTGTTTCTATTTCCTGATCAAATGGAGAATATATGTACAACACACTACTAAATATAGAACTCCTCATCCCAAGAAATAAAGTCACACATGTGACCGATCGCGCACCAAGTCTTGGCTAACAGTGTCCACCCATGATCACCCCTCAACTTTTATTTGGCCCGTCTGAATGATCAATCGTATCAGAAGTAAACCTCAGACTAGCTGCAAGCTAATTACCTTGGAACACCTGATCTGAAACCGAATGGTTTATACTTTAAGAGTAAGTCAGTTAATAATATGTACCATTATCATCAGCGTCTCAATGAGTCACCAGATTGAGATGATCCACACTAGTCACAAATCTACACCAGGACTTCAAAAATTTATCTTGAAGGCAGTTTTTATTGAGCGTACGACTGTTACACATTAGACTACGTACAGAATAGAGTAAACATGTTTGTAATCCATATACAGTGTCACTGAACAGCTTAGAGGCATATTCAAAGATCTATAAATATCCGATATATTTGTTGCTTTGGATATCAATTGGCTTTCTATATGTTTTAACAGTATATTTCTACAATATGTACATTAAAGTTTCAACATTAATATGAAACAGAAACATCGATTTTCTCGCCTAAAGTAGTCGATTTTAAGAGTTCCTTGAGTGAACAATTATATTGTCTCACTAATGACAAAAATATCTTAAACCAAGAAGACCTAATTGTCAACTGAGGAAAGTAAAGACTTTGGCTTAGTGGTCTGAAGGCATCTTGTTTGCCAACATAGCTGGATGTTTTATGTTTTTCCACCGGTGACGTCTCAGACATTCACTGTTGTGAAGTTACAAAACATAATGAAATAACTATAGTGATTCTTGATTTTAGTTATTTCTCCAAATGAAATCAGTTCATGATAAAGACCGTTTACACTTTCCACAATTTTCATAAAGATAAGTATTCAAAGTTGTACACGAAAACCTTAAGTCTTGTCTTTATGCTTATTAAATAATATCATCTTACTTTTTATTGAGTAGTCTATTAGTCTGGTTTATTTAAACCCTTTCTGAGAAAAATGTATGGTCATTTTAATGAAGTAAAGTTTAGTTCATCCAGGTTTAAATGAAGTATGTAAAAAGTCTTTCTGCTAAACAGGAAGTTAGTTATGTATGTATTAAATAACATGTCACCGCAATAGTTCTAGATGATATAACAAGTTAACAGAAGAGATAAACTTACAACACTAGCCTAATAATGATAAAATATTGTCTGGTTGTTTTATGTTTACTCCCTTTTTATATGACGTTTTGCTAAAGTCAAGATACACTTGTGTTTCGTAAAATTATTTGAACAAATGAAGTGCAGGATTATTAGAAGGCCTGAATCATGAAATAACTGTGAAACTTCAGTCAAGGATTCACACTATTTTAAGGAATTCAAACAAAATATTTGTTTGTCAAGCAATTTATAAGTTAAGACTAATTTTATCTTACAAACGCGTTGATAAATTTTATTGTTTTATTTGTATTTAGTAAATTCTTACTAAAGATAGTCCCAAATTATATCTGTTTACAACTTTTACATAAGATTCTAGTATATTTCAATTGATACGTTCAGTACGGATCATATTATATTCATCTCATATAGCTTGATCATTAATTATTGCAAAAAATATGCAACTGTAAGGCTTCAGTCTTCATCATTAAGTTATTTCCTATGTAATGTCTCAGTTACTTTTTGGAATTCATTGATATATATATACACCTCTTTCAGGAAACTGTAGCCTTATACTTGTTTGTAGACTCTATTACAGATGTTCCATTTGCTTTTCTTTCCTCTCAAAAACGCTCAGAATAATATAATTCCAATCTGAGTATTTATTTTTGAGCTGTGTTAATGTCATACACCGTCTTCATTCAGATCTATACATCAGCTACTTTAACAGGGATAAAATGTCTTCCCAGATATTATACATATGAAGAGTGGCATGAATCGAGTAAACCAAATAGTGCTGGTTATCACGTTTAAATTGAAAAAAAGTGAACTAAATGAAATTATTAATTTTGTGAATTTCTCAGAAATTTCAGAAAGTTATTGTTGACCTTGATAATCATACACTGTTAATTAGTTGTTTGATTAGAATATCAACATACATTCGTGTATAAATTGAACAATAATCGGCGATGTAAAGTAATATTTGAAAGACGATCCTTATCGATCAAAGATGGATTTAAACCAGCAGTTGTTGACTCATTAATTGAACTGTATTCAACACGGAACCTGAAAGTACTAAGTTGATTACTATGTTGCCAATGTGAATTCAACTGCTAGGATGAAGCTGTTAACAAATACACCTTGGTTTTCACTTATAACGTATTTCACAACAATTTTCAATGTACATGATTCTTCAGTCAAATAGATCCCTACAAAAGATCTATTCAAACAATTTAGCCTAAAGATAATCCTGTGAAGACAATTTTCCACGATATTGTTTATTGAAGCTTTATAGTTGTACCTATGGTGTACAGCTACATTAAACGATTAAATCTAAAAGGATTGTCTGAATTGTTTTTAGCATTCTTGAACAGCACGGTAGATTTCTTTTTTGTATAGTTTAACGTTAGTTAACCGGTTGATCTAAGAGTTAAAGTCTCTT